CTGCGGGGGAAAGGGGAAGGAAGTGAGGATCATTGAGGACGTCGATTCATCTCTAGAAAAGTGAGGAAAGACAAAAAAAAAAAAAAAAAAAAAAAAGGAAACAATTTGTAATCCATCCGTTCTATTGTTTTTCTTTTTAATTACCATGGGGGAATTTCATGGAAATCCCATTACTCAACCCCAACACGCAACACACCATACAACCCCCCCCTCTTCCTCCCCTCTCCCCATACACACACACACACACACACAACAGACCAAACCACAAAGAGACAAAAAAAAAATCCCCAAATGAAACAACAACAACAATAACAAACAAAATAAACCCGCCACACGATAACAAAGCAACGAAAGTGAAGCCAAGCACGAAGTAAACAAACGCAAAGATTCGCCGATAGATAGGCCACAAAAATAGACTGTCTACAAAAGTCGTCCTCAAAGGGATACGCCAACTCGCGCGGAACAGAAAACGTTACGGCGAAAGCGGCCATTGCGAGACGAGGATGATAAAAGAAGGAAGAGAGAAAAGAAGGGATAATAACAGAACGATGAAGATAAAAAGGAAAAAAAAAATAAAAAGAAAGACGAGGATGATAAAAGAGAAAAGAGAGAAAAGAAGGGATAATAACAGAACGATGAAGATAAAAAGGAAAGAAAAAGAGAAAGAGAAGTCACACAAGACGAGGACGATAAAAGAAGGAAGAGAGAAAAGAAGGGATAATAACAGAACGATGAAGATAAAAAGGAAAGAAAAAAGAAAAAGAAAATCGAGTCACACAAGACGAAGACAAGTCGAGAAAGCAGAGAGAAAAGAAAAGATTAAACATAAGACGATAAAGATAAAAAAGTAAGAAAAGCAGAAAGAGGAGTCACACAAAACGGAGACGATAAAAGAAGGAAGAGAGAAAAGAAGGGATAATAACATAAGACGATGAAGATAAAAAGAAAAAAAAGAGAAAGAAAGACGAGTCACACAAGACGAGGACAACAAAAGAAGGAAGAGAGAAAAGAAGGGATAATAACAGAACGATGAAGATAAAAAGGAAAGAAAAAAAAGAAAAAAAAGAGAAAGAAAGACGAGGATGATAAAAGAGAAAAGAGAGAAAAGAAGGGATAATAACAGAACGATGAAGATAAAAAGGAAAAAAAAAAGAAAAAGAAAAAGAAAATCGAGTCACACAAGACGAGGACAACAAAAGAAGGAAGAGAGAAAAGAAGCGAGGAAGAGAGAAAAGAAGGGATAATAACAGAACGATGAAGATAAAAAGGAAAGAAAAAGAGAAAGAGGAGTCACACAAGACGAGGATGATAAAAGAAGGAAGAGAGAAAAGAAGGGATAATAACATAGAATAATGAAGATAAAAAGGAAACAAAAAATGAAAAGAAAGACGAGGATGATAAAAGAAAGAAGAGAGAAAAGAAGGGATAATAACAAAGAACGATGACGAAGACAAGTCGAGAAAGCAGAGAGAAAAGAAAAGATTAAACATAAGACGATAAAGATAAAAAAGTAAGAAAAGCAGAAAGAGGAGTCACACAAAACGGAGACGATAAAAGAAGGGAGAGAGAAAAGAAGGGATAATAACATAAGACGATGAAGATAAAAAGGAAAGAAAAAATAAAATGAAAGACAAGGACGATAAAAGAAAGAGGAGAGAAAGGAAGGGATAATAACATAGAGCGATGAAGATAAAGAGGAAAGAAAAAGAGAAAGACAAGTCACACAAGACGAGGAAGATAAATGGAAGAAGAGAAAAAAAAATGGATAATAACATAGAACGATGAAGATAAAAAGGAAAGTAATAAAAAGAGAGACGAATTACACAAAACGGAGACGACAAAAGAAATAAAAGAGAAAAGAAAATATTAAACATAAGACGATAAAGATAAAAAGGAAAGAAAAAAAAGAAAAAGAAAAAGACACACAAGACGGAGACGAGAAAAGAAAAAAGGATAATTATAGGACGATGAAGATAAAAAGGAAGGAAAAAAGAAAGACGAATCACACAAGACGAAGACGAGACAAGAAAGAAAGAAAACAAAAAAGAAGATAATAATAAAATGAAGATAGAAAAAAAAAAGAAAAATGAACACGAAAATTAAAAAAAAAAGAAAACGATAAAAAAGGAAAAAAAAAGAAAAGAAAAAATCAAAACGAATTACAAAACGAAGATGAAAAAGGACAAACACACAAGACAATAATAAGGTGAAAGCAAACACACAAAACAACGAAACAATACAAAGAAAATAAGAAAAAAAAGAGAAAGAAGTGAAAGAAAAAAAAATTAAAGAAAGAAGAAAAAGAAAAGAAAAAGAAAAGAAAAAGAAAAGAAAACAAACAAACAAACATATATCATCCAGACACAATAATCACACACCTATTAGACAGATTGATAGAAAGATATATATATATATATATATATATATATGTATATATATATATATATATATATATATATATATATATATATATATATATATATACATATATATATAAATTTATTTATACATATATATCTATCTATCTATCTATCTATCTATATATATATATATATATATATATATATATATATATATATATATATATATATATAGAGAGAGAGAGAGAGAGAGAGAGAGAGAGAGAGAGAGAGAGAGAGAGAGAGAGAGAGAGAGAGAGAGAGAGAGAGAGAGAGAGAGAGAGAGAGAAATACGAAATTAAAAATGATATTAAGCTCAATCAAGTAAAATGAAAATCAGAAATAAAAACAAACGTAATAACACGACACGACACAAAACAAAACAAAAAAAAATCCCATTCACCTAAGACTGCTGAACGACATTAAACAATAACATGAAATAAAACAATAACCAAACATGAAACAATGACACACATAACAAAAATAACATTAACATGAAACAAAACAATACCATAAATAACATAAATAACATCACAAAATAACAAAACAATAACTAAACTCATTCCCTTTCCCCGTTCGACCAAGATGACTGAACGATAGTAACCTTCTCGATCGATCTCTCAGCGCAGGAGATCGGGTGTTCAGGGACAAGGGGCGGGGGGGAAAAGGGGAGAGGGACGAGGGGAGAGAGAAGAGGGGTGAGGGATGAGGAGAGAGGGACGAGGGAGAGAGACAAGGAAGAGGGCAAGGGGAGAGCGACGAGGGACGAGGGAAAGAGAGGGAAGAGGGTGAGGGATGAGGACTTAGGGCCGAGGGAGAGAAAGACAAGGGACGAGGGGAGAGAGAGACGAAGGGGGGAGGGACGAGGGAGAGAGACCCTTTCCCCTTTCGTGTCTCTCCCTCGTCCCTCCCCCCTTCGTCTCTCTTCGAGAGACGAAGGGGGGAGGGGCGAGGGACAGAGAAACAGAGGACGAGGAGGAGAGGGGAGAGAGAAATACAATGACGAAAGAGAGGGAGAGACAAGGGACGAGGAAGAGAGGGGCGAGGGAGATAGAGACAGGGGACGAGGAGGATAGCGACGAGGGAGAGGGAGAAACAAGGGACGAGGGGAGAGGGACGAGGGGGAGAGGAGTGAAGGATGAAAGGGAGGGGGGGAGAGGGACGAAGGACGGATGACGGAGAGGGATGAGAGAGAGAGAGAGAGGGAAGAGGGGTGAAGGATGAGGAATTAGGACCTAGGGATAAGAGATGAGTGACAAGGGAAAAGGGAAAAGAAGAAAGGGATGGGAAATGAAAGGGAAGAGAGAAGAGGGGAAAGGAAAGGAGGCAGAGAAGAGGGAAAAGGAAGAAGGAGAAAAGAGGGGAAAGGAAGAGAGAAATTTAGGAGGAGAGGCAAGGGAGGGGAAAGAAAAGGGAAAAGAAATAGAGGAAATGGGAAAGGGAAAAGGATTATGAGAAAATGGAGAAAGACGGAGATGAGAGAAAAAAAGAGAGAAGGAAGGAAAGGGGAGAATAAAATAATTCGGGAGGAAGGGAAAATGAATAGAGGGAGGGAGAGAGATGATTTAGATGGAGTTCTGAAAAACTGATGAAGGTGACATTTATAATCGGGAGGCGGTGAGTGATAATGACTAAATAAGAGAAAAACTCAATAAATAACTTTTTCTTTTGTCACTTCATCTTATACATTTCATAAGAAGACTGAGGTGAGTCTGGGTATAGTGAGCATTCAATAGTAATTAATGTATAGAAAAGATATGAATGAAAATGAATATCTTCACAATACAAGATGTATTTGACCGTTTTCGATTATATCTTCGTCAGAAATGTATGAATTTCCGACGAAAATATAATCGAAACCGGTCAAATACATCTCTTGCATTGTGAATATATTCATTTTCATTCAATTTTTTCTACATTTGTCAACATGAATACGGTTCAACGATTAATATCGAGAAAAGGAGTAAAATAAATAAAAATAAATAAAAAGATAAATATACAGATTATTCAACTAAGAAAAAAATAATAAAAAAGAGCCTATGGGAGGTAAATGTGAAGATAAATGAGAATATGAGAGGAAAATGAAAAACAAGGTGTGAGAAAGGTAAGAGTAATAGAGATGAATGAGAAGAAAAACAAAAATTTATTTGTTTCTCAGATGAAGGTGAAGAACGAAGAGGAAATTAATGAAGCAACGATTAATGCAAGTCATCCCTCCCCCCATCCGTGGAAACAAATAGAAACAAGAAGAAAAGATAGGAGAGAGAGAGAGAGAGAGAGAGAGAGAGAGAGAGAGAGAGAGAGAGAGAGAGAGAGAGAGAGAGAGAGAGAGAGAGAGAGAGAGAGAGAGAGAGAGAGAGAGACAAAGAGAGAGAGAGAGGGAGAGAGAGGGAGAGAGAGGGAGAGAGAGAGAGAGAGAGAGAGAGAGAGAGAGAGAGAGAGAGAGAGAGAGAGAGAGACAAAGAGAGAGAGAGGGGGGGAGAGAGAGGGAGAGAGAGAGGGAGAGAGAGAGAGAGAGAGAGAGAGAGAGAGAGAGAGAGAGAGAGAGAGAGAGAGAGAGAGAGAGAGAGAGAGAGAGAGAGAGAGAAAGAGAGAGAGACG